TTTCCAGCTTTTCTGGTTCCCGAGTTAGCAGCTCCCTTGCCAAAAACTTTGGTGGGCCCGTGCGTGATCACCACGCGGGTAAGAGCGCTCATTTTGGGGGTTTTGGCCTGTACGTGCAGGTAAATTAATGTCGCAAAGCTATAGCCCTGTAGTTTTTATAGGTCTTGAGATGAGAAATCGATACAAACGCACACACCAGACAGCCCTTCGTCAATATGGGTTTTCTGCAGTGCATAGATGCAAAAAACGCATAACTGGGAATTTGAAAAGTAAAAGTGTTTCCGCGGAAGCACCCGGCAATGTCGCCCGCTCGCACATTGCGCTTCAATCGATGGACTGTTTGGGAGTTTGCCGTGTAACACACTGAGGGCAGCCTTCGTTGTTGTTGATGGCGTGCCTCGGTGCGACGATTCTAACTTGTAGGTATTCGGAGGCGAGCAGCTGTTGGCAGTTCCCCCGCATTGTTTAGCACGGTGCATGCATATGCAGCCAGGAACGACCCCAAATATATGTTGCTTCAAATTTGACAAATACCTTACTGAAAATAATCCGAGACTGCAACCGTCTCGTACTGGCCAGTTGCGGTGCGCAACAGGAATATTTTTACAACTTCAAGCACCGGAACATTCCTGTTTGGCAGTTTAATTATACCTTTTGTTCTGCAACAGCCACACAAAACGCATACTATCGAGGCCCTGCATATGTTTGTGTGTGTGTGTGTGTTGTGCATATGTCTGTCTATGTGTATTCTCAGTGCATGTAATCCAGCGGTTTCAACTCTGGAACCAGAGGAACTAGGAAGCCGACAGATTAAGGGTAATTGAGGCACCACATCGAAATGCATAAACAGCCTGTTCGCCTTTACAGGTTTCAAGCTCTTGTTTAAGATGTGAAAAATACTTAAAACTCTTTCAAAAAACTCAATCGTTGCTGAGCTTCGTAACAGAAAAATCTTTTCATTTCGATGTGGTGCCTCAAATCCATCACTCTGAAGACCCGGCAAATGCCCCTACATTC